TACAAGTGACAGAACTCTTCTAAAAAAATTACAAATATACTATTTGTAAAAAAATATAGAAAAAAGATCAGGCGTCGTGACGCTTGAGACACTTACACTGCGACATCCATAACGTAAACAAATGTCATAACGCTCAAGGGTTTCCTTCGTTGTGAAACTTGGTGACATGGGCCTTCCTTTTAATGAATTGACTCATCATTTCAACCATAGATTATGGCATGAGTAGTAACAACTTTAGCTCGATACACCTGCACAAACACAACTAAAATAATACATTTTTGTTGAAGGATTAACATATAAAATATAATTTTATTTACACTTATCAAATCCTCCACAGCTTAAACTCTTACTTATTCTCAAGAAAATAAAAGTTTTGTAATTATGATTATGTGATGAACCAAAATAAAAAGTGACAATCTAAAATTTCAAAAATATGAAATAATACAACACTATGTATAATTAATAAAAATGAATCAAAACTTTACTTCTAGTTTGGAAAAATATTAATGTTAAACTTAACCAATTTCTCTAATGTTTTCCTAATTTGGAATTATAGGATATAGAATTAGTCTTTATCTTCTTAGTATTGAAGTCAATAATTTTGTTGTAAGAATTAGATATTGTTGTTCTTAAAATTTTACTTTCATTTGTTGACCATCTCTTATATTAGCTCTCTCATCTTATCCTTTATAATTTTTGTATAAGATTTTATTTTAAATCTTTATGCTATCACTTATACTATTTTTTGAATGTACTCAAATTTTTCTTTTAAGAACTATTTATAGTATTTTTTTCTTTCTTGGATTACATAATTAATGATTTTGAATATTAGCTTCTATTTTAGGATTCTCATATATTATTAATAGTTTTAATGTATGGATTTGATGAGTTATTCATTCCATTTTCAGGTTAGCTATGATTTCAAAATTTAATATAGTCGTATCTAATTTTTAATACTAATTATTCATCTTACAATTTTTAAAAGTTAAATTCACAAATGTATATCTTATAATTTAAAATTATGGTAATAGCCCAAATGGTTAAAAAAGTTAAGTATTAGATTTTCCAACATATGAAGTATAAATAGAGTTCATTCAAGCTAGGATCTTGGGTTTTAATATTATCCTAATTTTTTTATAAATTTTTATTATCATTTTTATAATGGTTAATTAATTAATTATATTATAAAATTAATTGGAGAATAATAATAATTTAAGTATGAAGGGATTTTGCTAATATGTAAATAAACACAAACAAATATTACAAACACATGTTTTCATATGAGTGATTAAGATCACATAAAATATTTGTTGAAAATAAAAACATAACAAAACATTCATGACACATAATACATGTATAGGATAACTAGTGTAGATGGCACCCAACATTCAATAATGACTCAATTAAGTTCAACTACATAAGACAATATCTCCCACCACTACCTTCTTTCCTATAAAACAATAAAGTAGAACAACAAAAATGAATGCAGATCCTTTAGAATTCTTTACTCTGCTAATCACATGGTTTAAATCTATATGCATTTACTTTGATTTTTTTTGCGAACCCCTCAGAGGGGCCTATGCAATGATTAAGGTAAAAAGTAAATAGTCCTTAAAGGGACCTCGAGCTCTCTAATGCTCAAAAGAGCCACAATAGTAAGGAAAAAAATCTTATGAGCTTAAGTTCCCTACTAAAAAATACAAAATGTCCTAAGAACATTCTAGGTTGGCTAGTAGCCATCACCCAAAAATAAATGAAGAAATAAGGATACTCATTATGCTCAATTTCTTCACCCAAAAAATCAAGAACTAAAAAAACTGCACCAAAAGGTTCATGCAAAATTCTATTAGTATAATAAAATAATAAAAAATTAAAATTAAATGGGGTAAAACTACTATCATCAACCTATTTATAATTCACTTCACATAAGAAAAGGATGAGGGCAAAATCCGTTTGATTAAAGGAACCATATCAAATCAGGGAAAAGGAGCAAGAACAAAATAATCCATCGAAGATACACATGATCATTACAACAAAAATTAAATTGGAGTAAGATATAGGAGCCAAAGTGAATATTACAAAATTTGACATAATAGATGCAACCAACAGCCATTAAAATAAAAAAATCTAAAAAAAGAGAATGTTAATACCATTTAATTCCACTCCCAAACCAAGAGCAAAAAGAAATAAACCCTAAAGAATAATTATAAGGGTGGGAAGCAACACTGCTAGATTAAAATATCATGCACATAAGCTCACAATCCTACAAACAGAATCACCAAAGCGTCCCCACAACCTTGATCCACAAAAATTCCAACACAACACCATATAAACACCAAAAAAAAGCCAAAATTCAACTCAGCTAGAAATAAATCCACGTCCAACCGATCACACAACAAATGATTAGCAAACAGCAGCATGTTATAAGAAAAATAAGAAATCAATGTCAAACCATTACAACCAATGAAAAAAGGGTAAAGAATTAGTCACAAAAGAATTTGTAAGAAATATTCTCATGACAATGAAAGGGCCAATCCATCCAAATTGAATTTTTTATGGTAAAAATTTCCCTTATAATCAAATAGCAACACATCTTGTCTCAAAAAAAAAAAAAAAAAATAAGAAAACTCTACCACCATGCATCTTCCTTATTTTCGCCATGGACTTCTTCTTATCTTCATGCAACTCCACTTTGAATTCTTTTAACTTAATAATAATGGCAGAACATTTCATGTGGAGATGTATAAAATAATCCTTATTCTTGTTAGAATTTTCATTTTGGTTCTTTAAAGAAGAGGATGTATGTGATTCGACCCATTACTTAGACTTTTGATTTTTAATAGAATAAAATATGATACTCACTCAAGAGTAGGTAAAAACTGAAAAAGAGAACTTCCTATTAATTTGTTTTATAGATTTCATTGTAGGGAAGTTTGAAAATTTTGAAATTTCATTCAAAGGGCTATCGGGGGCATTGTGGCATTTTAGCACTCAGGTTATAGTCTTCAGCCAAACTTTGCATGAATTTTCTATTTGGCTAAGGTGGATGATTGTTATTCTTCAATTGGGCCCTATTAGTGTCTCTTTCCTTCTCTTTAAGATTAACTACTGTGTTACTAGAAAGATATCCAATGGGTCTACCACTCATAGAAATTTCAAGCTAACTTAATTGAGTTTCCAAATTTTTAATTGTATTGAAGTATCTTGTTTTTTTAAATTGAGTTCAAATTTGCATGACCACATCATCTAGAGGTGTCTTCCTAATTTTGAACTAATTTCTTTGATTAAATTCAAGAGGATATGCTGGTCTTAGAATATTCTTAACACTATTTTGATTATTTCAATTTATGCCTAAGTTATTTTGACCAGAACTCTATGGATTTTTACCATTATTATTTGACCAATTAAAATTTAGGTGATTCATTCAACCTGAATTATATTTATATAAATAGAGATTATTTTATCTTCCATTCAAATTTATATTTTCAATCCCTTGGATGTAATTTTCTTCAATTAAACTTTTATCTTCTAGATGTAAAGATAAATCAAAATTTAAGACTAAAGTGCTCATTTTCTATGATATTGTTGTAACTTGTGTAGTCAAAATTGATAAAGAATCATTTTTATGAACTCTGACCACTCTCTTAGGATCCACCCTATCAGCAGGACAATAAAAATAATATTTTAACATTTCTTAAATTAATTCATAATCCTCTTCAAAAGGATTTGACATAAAAGAAGCTCCAGCTACACCATCAATTATGGCTCGAAGGGATCATACTAATTTGTTGTAAAAAGTTTAAATTATCAACTAATCAGGTAAGGCATGGTGAGGGAATTGTTGAAGTATCTCTTTAAATCTCTCCCAACTCTCATAAATAGGTTCTCTTTCTAACTAAGTAAAAGAAGTAATACATTTTTATAATAGCATTTATAAAAACTGATAGCTGATGATGTTTGGTTAGCAGTGAGCCAATTCTTGTCTTCTGGAGATATGCACATGTCATGGAAAGGAAATCTTATAGTCTTGATTCCGAAGACTCAAAATCATCAAGAGGTAACCAATTATCAACCTATTAGCTTATGCTTGACCATTTATAAAGTTATTGCAGAAATGCTCTTAAGTAGATTGGAGATGGTGATTCACAAATTAATCTCGGTGGACCAAGCTGCTTTTATCAAAGGTCGTTCTTTGTCTGATCATGTTCTTTTGGCACAAGAAGTTTTCAATAAATTTCGTTATTCTAAAGCTAGGAAAGGACTTTTGGCAATCAAGCTTGACATGGAATAAGAATATGATAGTATGGGTTGGGAAGCTTTGAGGCAAGTGCTCTCTCACTTTAACTTTCCTAGTAAGTTTAAGGAGGTTATTTTACAATGCATCTTAGATCCCAAATATTGCATCTTGATCAATGAAAGGAAAACTAATTGGATTGAAGGGAAATGTGGATTTAGTCAAGGATGCCCTTTATCCCCTTTTTTGTTTATTCTATGCTCCCAAGTCCTATCAGATGCACAAAATGGTAGGAAGGGGATGTGGGGATCTCTATTTCTCCCAAGGCTCCTAGAGTGACCCATTTGCTTTATGAGGACACTATTTTGATCTTCTCGGAAGGCAAGATGAAAGTTATTAAGGAATTGATGTATATCATTAATAACTATTATTTATGGTCGGGCTAGAAAGTTAACAAGGGTAAATCTATGATTCTTTTTAGAAAATATACTAATCATAGAATTAAAAAGAGATCCTCCAATCTTCTTAATTTTAAGGTGGTTAAGAAGTTGAATTAGCTTGGTGTGAAGATGACCATGAGGAGAGTGGTAGCTTCGGATTTCTCTAAGCTTATGGAAGTTGCAGCTAATAGATTAAACATTTGGGGACAAAAATTCATCTCTTTGGAAGGAAAGATGGTTCTCATTAAATCAGCATTCCTCTCTCTTCCTATGTTATTAACTTCAATTTCTCTTGTTCCTTTGAGTAATTAAAAGACTTTGATAAAATGTGTAGAAGCTTTTTGTGGAAAAAGAAAGATGGGAATGCAGGTATTCATTATGCCTCATGGGATAGGCTTTGCAAGACCAAGGAGGAAGGAGGTAGAGGCTTATTCTCAGCTGTGTCAAGAATAGGTCCTCTACGGGCCAAGCTGGCATGGAATTTCTGTATGAAGCCATCAACTTTGCTGAACCAAATTTTAAGAGCTAAGTATGGAGAAGATGTCTGGATTACTCCAATGAAAAGAGATTTGTCACCAACGTGGAAGATCATCACCATGGGAGCTCATTATCTTAGAAACATTATTAGGTGGGATGTTTATAATGGAAATTCGATCAATTGGATGTTTGATAGTTGGATTTTAGATAAATGTATAGCAAGGTGGCCAACTTTTGTTAACTATTTGGAACCAAATGAATACAAGCTTCGTTATTTTATTTTGGAAGAAAAGTGGAATACTGATCATATTTAGCAAATATTTAGGGAGCAACTGGTGAAACTTATTACTCAAATTCCAATTCAGTCCGATAGAGGGTTTGATCTTATTTAGCTCAATTCTAAATTTTCAGGAAAGTCAAGTGCTGCTTTGGCATTTCAAGCAATGTATGATAAAAATGGAGGTAGTGCTATATGGAATTGGATGAAAAAATTAAAATTAATACCGAAGGTTGAGCTTTTTTGGTGGAGGCTGTATAATGATGCCATTCATTCTAATGATTTTCTAGTTAGAAGGAAAGTGAGTAACTTCTCAGGTTGCCCGAGGGGATGTAAAGAAGATGAGAACGATTGGCATATTACAGGAAATTGCGTGAAGCTACATGAAGTGATTTCAATGCTCAATAGCTGGGGCTTCAAAATTCTTATTTTTTACAATCTACATGAATGTTTGGAAGTTTTAAAGAAGCTTGTAGGAAAGAATTCTCTCACTGCTAATATGTATTGTACTACTACTTGGCTTGTGTGGAAAAGCAGATGTAAATTGATTCATGATGGCATTGAAGACTCAATCAATTCTTTGGTAGCAAATGTGGTCTCTACAGCTACAGTCAGCAATTTTATTAATCATATACTAGAAAAATTGGATACTAACCAGCGAAAGCTGTCTTGCTCTTGGTATCCTCCCCCACCCGGGAGGATTAAATTAAATGTAGATGCTTCTATTTTATCAAATAATGTTGCTGTATTTGGTGGTGTTGTAAGAGATGAGAAAGGAAGATTTCTTATAGCTTTCGGTGTAAATATTATGCATTGGGACATTGCTCAAATTGAATTGTTGGCGGTTCTCTATTTGAAGAATATCATCCGTGACTGGATGTTTGAAGCTCAAGGAATCATAATTGAAGGAGATAACTATAATATTATAGAACTTCTTCAATCAGCTTTGAAGACTTGGAAGGTTAGTAAGTGCATTGAGGATAAGTTGTCTTTCCTTCTTTATTTCAACCAAGTATTGTTTTCTTATACTAAAAGAGATTGTAAAAAATTAGCGGATGTTTGTGCTAATTTGGCTTTAAAGAGTTCTTTTGTTTGGGATGACATTAGCTTTGAAGATATTCCTCCTTCATTCTTGTTTTGCTTGAAGGAGGAATGTGATTCCTTAGGTTTACTTTGACTAGCTTGTTATTTCCTTTTTTAATGCATTTTCCATTTCTTAAAAAAAAAAAGAAATACTTTCCAAGAAATTTATGAGCCAACTCTTAATATATGGTAACAGACTTTAAGGTAAGGATTTTAACCATATTTTTTCCTATCTCTAGGATAGAATGAGAATAATCTAAGTCTAATGGAATCATCACTAATAATATTGTACTGAAATGTTACAAAAATTTCTATGAAACTTACTAAATATAGGTTAGGGTCTTCAATGGGAGTTCTCTCAAACTAAGAATTTTATATAATCTAAATGATTGTAGGTTTTAATTCAAAATTATTTGCTTTGGATGACAGATATTTTTTATACTTTGGTGAATTCCATAAACTAAAGAGTTTGGAAAATCCTTAAGAGGTCTAGAATGATCTAAGTTTTAAATAGGGTTAGCCATTTAAAAAAAAAAAAAATTGGTGGTTCTAATTTTAGAAAGGGTTCTCTTAATTTAAGAATCAAAATTTAACTATTCCACCCCTTTATATCTTATAACTATGCAACCATAGATTTGCAATTAGTAAATTAAAATTAAAAAAAATATATATAGCAGGACTAATTTTGTAATTAATTTAATAAAATAGTAAATTCTAACTAAAATTAATTCTTCCTCGACAATTATGCCAAAAACTTGATGGGTAGTGGAGTAATATAAAGAATTTTGAATATGATAGAGGGCTTTATCATTCCCTAAATAATGCTTATGCTTTCTTTGATATAAAATTTTTAAAAAACTTACTTAATATATGCAAGTATTCATGTTGAATTAAGTAATATAGTTATAGAGTGGAGTATTGATACCACAAGAAAGAATGTTTAATTAGAAATACTAGTACTGCCTACTTCAACTGTATCAATTATCCTACTCAATAAAAATAAGTTTTGGAGGAGAATTAATTACTTAATTTATAAAATAAAAAAATAAATGAAATAATATTTAGATATTTTTTTTATTAATGGAATATAAATACTAATATTTCTAGATGATTTTCTTTTATTTTGATGCAATTAAGAGCATATGAATCACAGCCGCTCAAAGAAGCTTAAAGAGACAAAGGATATATTAAACCCTTCCAACCTCAATACCACTATTAACTCCCATAATTTATCACCTATGAAAAATAATAGAAGAGTAAGCAAAATAAGTACTATTAGAACTCCCCAATGATAATTCATCTCTAAAAATTTGATACATGACAAGCACTATGCATATGCTTGCATCGTACCAATTAAACATACCTGGTTGTGCCTACTTTCCTATTAATAGGCTCTAATTTACACCTGATATTAACTATATATATATGACTACTATGTGTATTAAATGAAGGCATGGTATCATGAAAATTTTGATGAAGAGAACTCATTAGTACTCCATATTTTGCTTACATCATCAATCCAAACCTAAAGAAATTACCCAGAAATGAAGAATAAGTGAAGCATATTAATTTTAATTATTTACACAAAATAAAAATATATCACCAAATGGGTTTAATAATCTCTTCTATACTCCTCATAGAGCTTACAAAACTAATTCAAAAAGCTCAAGACAAATTCTTTAATGGAATGCATTTAGAACTTCTATAAATCTCCTTAGTTTTGACTCCTATGGAAAAATCAGTTTAGCACAATAAGGACTAAAATTAAATAAGTGATTGAACTCTTTAACTAACATTACATACAAACTATTTATAAATAAATATAGAAAATGGATTATAGCACTGTGGCAAACAAGACATTTGTGTCATGGCGCCCAAAATTAACTAATGCATTAGTGTTGAAGGGTTTCATCTGATGCGGCGTTTGCTGAGATGGACCCACTATTTAATGAATCAACATGACACTTTGCTAGCAGACTGTGGCATGAACATTTATAGCTATAGCACCGTGGAAGCGTTGATGGTTGATCTCTGTGACATCCTGATAGCACTCCCTTAGCTAAGCTGCACATGAATGAAGCACCACAATGCTATTTAGATGTATATTGGGCTTTGTGACATTGATGCCTATGACGCAGTGGCATTGTCAAATAGAGACTAGCTGCCGTCGCGTCATTATTTGGGTGCTCTGGTGGTGTCAATGATGGTGCCATAATGATATTCTATCTGACGCCATTGTGTTGTACCATACTTTAAAAATTTGCTTCTTTCTTATGTTATCATGTACAATCACAATGAAAACAACATGTTTTCACTCATAAATTATTATATAAAACATAATATTTTTTATACTTATCAATAGTCTCACATAATCTTAGCATTTAGTTGAGTTAAGTCTCTATTCTCATTACTCTATTTAGTGAAAGGTGTTTCCACATTAACTCCAATAACAAATCTAAAAGTTGTGGAGTATCCCTTCTGAATCATATGCCATTTGAGAATATAAATAGATTACAAGAAAGTAGAGATGTTTATCTTCTAAAAATCAAATAGAATATGGCAAAAAGTGGTGGAAGAGTTATTGATTAACCCTCCATAGGGTTTCAATTTCTTAAGTGTGTTATGGGTCATTTTTCTCAAGATTATGAAAATCTTACTTGTGAGACAATCTTTGATATCCATTAAAAGTTCAATGGAGGGTGTTAGGCCTCATTGAATAGCTATAAGCACTCCAACGGGGGTGAATCTAATTTCTTTTTTAAATTGACAGAAAGAATTTTTTTTTTATATTTTCATAAATAAGAATTAAGTATTTTGATCACCTAATGTAGAAGATAATAAAAATAACAATAATCACAATGATGATGATAATTTAATTAGATTAATCTAATATCAATCACAACATTTTCAAATTTCATTTTTAAACAAAATAACATGTAGAAAAGTAAAGTGAAAAAAAATAAAATACATAAATATGATTTGAATGAATACACTAGAATTTTAGAGTGGTTCAGTTAAATAATGACCTACATTCATTACATGAAGTCCTTTTCTCTGGATATTACACTAACTCTTAGTGTGTCTTCTTTAGTGCCGCAACAAGGTGAAGAAGCCCTTACAAAAATCACTTCAACCAACCCACCATAGCAAAAAACTAGAATCCTTTTCATCCTCCTGGTGAGGCAATGTTCCTTGGAACTTCTATTCATCCTCTTGGTGAAACCATCAAACTTGTAAGATTTTTTGCCCTCTTGGTGAAGGTAGAGTTCCTTTCATTACTTTTTTACCCTCCTAATTAAGGAAGAGAATCTTGACCGTTGTCCTTGATGCTTTTCTTCCTAGAGTATTCATAGAAAATCTATAAAGCCATGAGAAGAAATCAACGTATAAGCTTGCTTGGAGAAACTATGTGAAAACCCTCACACAATTTCTCCCTATCAAAAAACTTGTTTTCACCTTCTTCACTCTCCAAGTTCTCCCACTGTGCTCTCACATAATTTATTTAAAAGCCAAAAGTTTCTCTTAGAGATAATTAAGAAAAAACTTCTTAGATAAGGTATTTGAAAACTCTATAATTTCAATTCTGCTAAATGGGTTATATAATACAATTGAGGATTGTGCAATGCTATTTGTTCAAAAATTAGATAACATTGAGTATGATGGAACAATCTTGGGATGGGATGTTCAAAAATTATATACCGATCATACAGTACAATCAGTTTACTATATAATATGATTAGTTCAATTATGTTATGATAACATGGATGATTTCCAGAATGATTAAAAATCTTCTCTTCCTTTCTTCAAGTTTGATTCACATAATTTTGTATGGTTAGTTAAAAAACTAAGGTTTTATACATGATGATCTCTAGGATGATGATTTTTAAGTCCGCCTATCTTATAGTAAGATCAACATCATATAACATGATCTACCAAATTAATTTAAATCTTAATTTGCTTGAATAATCATGGGGACTAAATTATGTTTGTTTTGATACATCATGTTGTATAAATTTCATCTTGCTATATGATCTGCTTAAAAAAAAATTAAAATACTTACATAAATTTTATTATCAACTAGGGTTTTTATTTTAAATAAAATTTACAGTATGATCTAGATTATATGATAGAATTAATTCAAAGACTTTAACTATTAAATTAGTCATTTTAAATCATTTTAAAAATAACTAATCTTATAGTATGATCTAGATTGTACAATTCAATAAGTTCAAAAAATCTAAGACTTATTTTCTCACTACCCTATGTGTGCGTGTTTTATTATTGAGATCATTTATGTATGAGGTCATTAGGACCCATTTGGATTCCTTTTTGATGACCTAATATTGGAAGATTTCTATTTCCTAATCATATTGGTCCCATGTAAGACCCAATTCAATTCCAATCAAACTCAAATCCTTCAAATTCAATCCCTGATTCAGCTTCCAATCTAATTTCAATCAAATTTCAAATCATAACGAATCATTCTAAATTATTAATTTAATTTTCATAGTTACGGATGATAAAAAATCATACAACCAATTTTAAATTCCAATTCAAATTTAACATCCAAACCAAAATCATAGTGTTAAGGACCTAGGTCCTGAAACCCTTCCTAGGTGATTTTTCTAGCACCTTGAAACCCAGTCAATTGGCATCTGATATAAGGTCTATGAACTCTTTATTTATATAAAATTTATATAGTACCTACCATCCAAGTTTTATCTAATTTGTAGGTCTCTAACCCCAAACACTAGATTGATTTCTAAAGGCTATAAAGCCTTTAGTTATTTACAACTTATGCCACTAAATTTGCTATTCAGTGGAACTTAACCCTATGACTCTTTCCAAACCCTCCAACCAAACTCATGACCTTTTTCATGACATGTTTATCAACAACATCAAAAACCTAGTTTGACCTAGTGTTGACTAGGGGTCAAAATGACCTAAATTCCCTTTAAAGGTATTTTTAGCCTTTTCCCCCAACTTCAACATTATCTTCCCTCACAACATCCAAAACCTATCCCAATGGATCCTAAATGCACTTAGGAATATATTGGACCCAAACCAACACTCTAGTTTAACCTAGGTTACTAGCCAACCATGACTGACCAAAGTGACTCATGGGTTTAAACATCCATTTCCAACCAAATGACCTCCCCATGCCTTAGTACCCCTTCCATTGAGTTCATATGATTCACTTGAACTCAATGAACCCATTTTTTGACCCCAGGTCCACTTGGTTGAATAAGTCAACCAAGTTTGACCAAACCTTCCATACACCTTAACCCATTAAAACCCTTTGACCAAGACCACTCAAAACACATTCAAGCCCATAGGGTGACCCAGTGGGTTATTAAGAGACCCCTCGTAATGACCTAAGCCTTCGGCTCACTTAGTTAGCCATTTGGACTGACCTAAGTCTCCAAAGAGTGGTCCCCCTTATGCCAACTTCCATTCTAAACAAAATTGGATCGAACCAATGATTGTATTGGGTTCCCCTTGAGCCAATACACCTCTTCTAACCGACCCAACCCTTAGGTAAACTTGTGTTAGGGATTGGGCTAACCCAAAGTGGCCAAAATAACCTTGGATTGAACTATTTAACAACCTAAGATCAATTATACCCAACCAACACCTTCATTAGGTTGCTCTAGGTCTAATGCTCTGCCCTGGATACCCCAACCCTTGGGTTTACCTGGGTCAAGACTTGGACTGGTCCAAAGCTTCCAAAATAACTTTGAATTCAGCCATTTCTTAGCCCAAAAAAATTCAGATCCACTTAGCACTTGTATTGGGTTCCCCTAGACCCAATGCATCTTTCATACCAAGCCCAGCCCCTGACTTAACCTGGATCTAATCCAAATGGACCCCAATGTGTCCAAAAAAGGGTTGACCAAGCCATATGAGGGAATCAGGCCACTTCATGGCATATTTAATATATGACTTGGTGTACTAGGACCACACCTATTATCTCTATCTATTTCATGGCCTGTCTTGACCTAGGTTAAGCTCAAACCTACCCAAACCATATAGGTTTGGGTCAATCCAAGCCACCCAAATAAATTTGGCTACCTTATACCTAATTAAACTCATAGTTTAGTTCCTCTAGTCTCCAGCACCTTCTATAGACTAGCTTGACCCAACAAGTGACAGACAACGGCCGGAGCAAATGGAAAATAAACTCCGGTGGTCCCCCCTTCATGAGCCTTGGTTGAAGCTTCACCAAGGTTTAGGCTCTCCTCCATTGAGCTCAGACAACTCAATGAGGTTATCCCCTTCTCGTTGGAAATCATCTGATGGCCTGCCTGGTTGATCCCATCTATCCATTTTTTGGGAGGTATTTGTATACGGAACCTCAACCTAGACACATTCATTCTATCCCAAACATTTCAAAACTTTTCGTAGAGCTCCCTAACTCTTCCTCTACCATTCCTTAACTTCCTAGTCCCTTTACCTACTAGTTTGAGCAAACTTTGGTGAAACCCTTCCATGTCCAGCTTAAAGTTCTACCTTTGGTGATCCTCCAGCCTTGGCGACTGAAGGAAAAATCTTTGCAATCATTCACTTAAGCTTCCTAACAAAAAATCCATTCATTGGGGATTTCTACACAGTTAGAATCCTTTCCCAAGATCTTATTTAGGTAGGGAGATCAAGCAATATCTGATGGTTTGAAAGCCCTTACTACCCTTATCCTTCCTATAAAATTTCTTATGAATTATCCAGTGGAATTGCTCAGATCACATCAAACAAGCTATACGAGTATGAAGAAATGTGGTAGGTTGAAGAAGTAATCACAGCCGTTGATATCAATCAATGGCTGTGATATTATCCCACGATCTCAGGTTAATTTAAATCCTAATCGTTCTTGTTTTTATCTGATGGTCAGGGTTTAATCTGCATAACCAGTCAACCGTTAAACTTTCCTCGCCAATCTGACGACGTCGAGTGGAAAGAGCATGGCTGACTGGATAATTAGGCATTTAATTTCAAAAGAAAATTAGGAAAACTTTGACAAAATCATATCTTCTCACATGCTTATCAAATTTAGGTGATCTTAGGCTCATTAGAAAGGTCTTAAGGAGACGTATCAAAGCGTTATGGTTCCAAGTAATAATTAATTCACTAATAATTCATTTTAGTTCCTAAAAATATATTTAAGTTCTCTAGTTAACCCTAGTTAAACCATCAACTCATGAAAAATAAAAGTAAAAGTACGAGATGCACCAAGAGGGGGGGGGGGTTGAATTGGTATATTAAAAATAAATCATAAACAAGAGTTATATTTTTTGAATTTTTTTCTTATTTAAAATAGGATAACTTGACTAAACAAATGCATAAGCAAATGATTTGATAAAAATTGCAACATTGGTGATGAATTTTTTAAATCACACAATGAAATACTAAAATAAAATTTTCACCAAAGCAAAATTAATTGCAAGAAAAGTAAAATTTGAAAAAAAAAAGGAAAATGCACACAATAGATTTTTATAGTTATTCAATCAACCTTAACCTATGTTCACTCCCCGAAGTCCTCCACTTTGGGATATACACTACTCAAAAGCAACTCTCCTTCTGCTTCCACAGTAAGGGAGAGAAGCCTTTACATTACTCACTTTCTCCTTCCCCAGTGTGGTGGAGTGCCAGATGATATGGCACCCTCCCAGTGATGGTAGTGGATCTTACAAAGCAAATGAAAATTGTTCAAGGAAATTTAAAGAAGAACATGCAATTCAGATTATCCATCAAGCATGTCTTGGCATAAAAAATGTAGATTTTATTAGACGGATCACGTGATTCACATCTTTTAAACTGCAAAAGAAAATTGAACTGTTTATCCAAAACCCATAAAAAACATCTAAGATTTGAAGCTTACATGGTTAAGTGAAATAGCCTCTATTCTATCTAGTTAATCCTTGCCTATCACATGTACCTGCATAGCTATTAGTTGGCTACCACCATGCTGTCATTTAAATAATTTATAAAATTAATTATAAAATAAATGAAATTAACTAAAATTTAATAAAATCACTATATATCACATAATTATCCAAATATTCCATATAAGGCCACTACAAAACTAGGATAATGTCCTCAAAATTTAAAAATAAAATTAGAACTTTTTGATGCATGGCCAAAGATTAACTTATATTCTAACATCCATTACTTTTCATTAAATTATCCATATTCATAAGTCAATATGGGCTCAAATTTGGATGGAGTATAGTAGGGGATGTCCCCTAATTTCCTCAATAATATGATGAACCCAATCTTTGTGATTGAATTTTCAAAGTCATATGTCATTATTTCACCTAAAATTCTATAAATTCATGACACCCAATTAATAGAGAATTTAATCACCAATTTTTTGGTTTGTTTACATTGTGCATGTGTTAAAAAACATTAATTGCAACCTAATTTGAATACTAGAGACACCTTAGAAGAATAATTTAGGGTATGGTCTAGTAAACATAGACATAATTTAGAAAATTCTTCTTACATCTAATAGGAATAAAACTCAAACCTAGTAAACTTATTAAAACGATGAAATCTAGGAATTAATTTCACTTTTATTAATGTTTACTAGGTAAGTAAACTCTTAAACCCAATAGCCAAACCCTATTTTGGGGTTGAAATATCTTTATAATTAATTAAAGAAATATTATTTAAAAAAAAAAGAATACCCCAAACAACTCTAAATCTTTCCTACATTCAAGGAAAATTAAAATTAACCCTCAAATTTAATTAAAATTAAATCAAACTAAAATAAACTCTAATTAATCATTAGTAAAAAAATTTAATTTAAAATTAATTATCATTCTAATTAATCTCAAAATTTCAAGGATTGATCCATGGGTTATCACTAACCAATGGTGTCAGTCATATGAAAATTTGATGTTTATATCATTAATAAAAACCCAACCTAGTTTCCTTCTATTATGAGGGGATTAATTAAATTATTAATAATTCAAGTAAATAATTATAAATCATAAATAAATAAATTAAAGTAAAAATAAAAATTAGACAATTTTAAATTAAAATTAAAGCTTTAAAATCAAACCAAATTACCTAAATCATCTCACTTAAATTCAAGGTAACAAAACTAAATTTCTTTAACTGAAACCTAATATGCCAAGTCAGTTAATAAATACTAAAACAAAATTAATAAGTGTTTTATGCATACGCTTGAGTCATTTTGGAAGGCATACATTCCTTTGATCCATATGGCTTAGAATGTGTCGTTGAGTGCTTCAACGCAATTTAAAGTTTATTATCATATGGCTTAGAATATGATGTTAAGTTCTTCAACGCAATGGCTTAGAATGTTGTCACACTTTTATCTTCATAATGCACAGTATTTAGTTCTTGCATGCAGGATTGCATTTCATTTTAATTTTCTACTTTTATTTTCTTCTTATAGTACAATATTTAAAATGTATTTAAGCTTTCATTAACTATAAAGTCAAATGTCAACTGAAAGTGTCTAGAATATATGTATATCGAGTATAACAAAGAGTTATAAATATTTAATGGTATATACTTAAACACAAAGAAATGGTTTATCTTCCTTTGAGGAGCAATATCTTTTATAATCCTACAAGAGAAATGGAGTTAGAATACAATATGCAAATATATTTATACCTGTATTTGAATGAGTATAAATTAAGGTCTATTGTGTTGAAGCATATCCACCTTACATTTTTAGTTGACCCAAATTTGTATTCTAAATTAAAAAAACAAGAATAATGGTTTTATCTATACATTATTATTTCATACTGCTTCATGTTGCATGCTTAACATTCACATGGATGGTAGTTTGCATTAAAGTGTAACCGTTTCAAATGTTTCTTTCAATCTGAATGTTCTAGACTTTATAAGTACATGCATACTAGTTATAGGTTGATATGATAGTGGTACCTTATACAAAAACACATTTTCCTTGACATACATACAGACACGCATTTTAAATTTATGCAACAAATACTAAACTAGAGTACATAAGCCTGTGATAATAGATTGGGTTGACTAATTGCTTTATAGGGTTGCTCTACTTTTCATTATTTGTTTAAGACAATTATATTGAAAATTATTTTCTAGAAAACAGAAAGTTTGAAAATTTTAGAAATTTAGTGTTAACTAATAACAAAATTTAGAGTTTTGGGTGCCATCACATAAAAACTATATCACTTACGTGTATATAACTTGACTCATATTACTAAACTTTGATTTACGATCTTAACAAAAATTCATAATTATGGTATTTAAAGAAACCTTTTTACCTTAATCCATTAGAGGTTGAAATCATGGCTTTAAATTATGTGCATAAGTGGTTAGCTGGAAATGCACTCCAAGTGAGCATAAGTCATGATGTACCCTTAAACATCCTTCAAGGAGGATTATTCCAACCTACAAATAAGTTTTATCAACTATAAAATTTTGTTCAAACTGACAAATTGAAACATTTAAATCTTTTAATATAAAAAAGAAATTTTAAATCTAAAAAAAGTCTAGTCTCTATTTTAATTGAAAGTTGACTCTTTGAAGATGTAATCATTTATATAGGATTTCCTCTATAGAAGCCAAAGGACCTAATTTAAAATAAATCTTATTTTATTTCATTATAATAACGGGAAAATCTTTTTGGACACACTATAAAGAAAATCCTTGGTTAATTTCATTTTGAAAATGATAGGTGAATGTTTCTATTTTCCTTTAGGATTAATTAAATATTTCTTATGTTTTGTTTGATTATGAAAAAAAATTATATTTCTCCTTTCAAGTTGGTTGTGAAGCTTTAGTTTATCTCCTGAGGAAGTTGATAAGTGTAAATTATGTGTTAATGTTTGTGTTACATTTTTTCGTGAAGATATGTTATTTTAGTTATATTATAAAGGAAGGATATAAAAAAGGCATTAAATTCTAAGGTTCATATAGCACTGCAACATTAGAAAAAAATGATGCTACAGTGTCATAAATAACACTATCAAAGCTTCAGAATATTGTCATTGTAGAACAAACGTCTCTATTAGACAACACCATAGTGTCAAAAGCTCAGCGTTGCAGAGCCATGTTCTCGGTCATTCAATGAATCACACTCTATAACATCTTGCCCCACAAATTGCTCTTACGGTGCCACAACATTCAAAAGTCAGCAGTGTACGATGTATTAGCTTTAACTCTCAGGGACACGACCTATTCATGAAGCGATGCGACTGTCCATTAAATAAAAAATTAAGTTAGCAAAAGGCCTTACTAGAACTTGAATACTAGCAAAGTGATGTTAGTTCTTTTTTTGGGTGGAGCGACACTTATCTTTCAAGAGACATAGTGCATTTTTGTTTTTTTTTTTTATTTTCTTAAAAATATTCATTGCATTATATTTGTATAGGAGTTCAGTTACCTAGAAAATTTCAGTAAAGTTCATAGTGCTTTTTTGAATTTCTCTTAGGGTTACCACTAAGGGAATTTAGTGAAGTACTTGATACCATTATTAGAGTGTTTGCCTTGTGTTTGTGGAGGCAAACTTGTAAGTAAAGAGGAGTGTAGAGGATATCCATTGAAACATTTTGATAATATCAATCTCTTGTATTTTATTTCTATCATGCTATTAATCAAAAGAAGTTTACATTAATTATATTTCTTGTTTGGCTAAATTCTCTAGTTTTGGATTCATGATGCAATATTATATGTAGTGCTAATGAGTTCTCTTATTACTTAAATGATTAAGATGATACTTTAATTTTACATGATCATAACTTAATGCATATATTGGCAATATATGTAGTTGAAATTTAGTGTATTATGGTGCATTGATGGAAGGAAGAAGGCATATCAAGGAATATTGAATTGTATGTGTCATACATAGGTATATTGTATGAAGTATAATAAATTTATAGGAAGATGGTATAACTATAGGAAGTCGATGGGCATTCTTTGGTCCTAGAATTCAAATGCTCTAAATTGCAT